GTGTGTGCGTGTGCATGTGTGTGTAGAGATTTGAAAACATTTGTACTCTCTACTACTTTTTCATTAAATGTGCTCCAACACTTCTGAACAATGGTTATATCTAATAAAAAGTTGAGAGCAATAGTATATGTTAGTGAAGAATAGCAGAGATCCAAGATCACAAGATGCTTTTTGGAGTTTTATAATGAAGTGGTTATTAATTTGGCAATAGAAAAGGCACGAGGGTGCAGAGAAAGGGGAAGCTGTCCAAGTGGTGAATTCATGGACTCTATTAATGAATGAAAAAATTAGGATAAATCAGTGTTAGACAAGAAGAAAATATTGGCTTTGAAGTACAATTGAACTTATTGAGGCCTCTGAGTAAGATTCTCTGGAGTAGTACCTAATTGGGTGGCTCTTTGCCTTCCGGCCATGTAGTTCAGTGATCAAAGGGCTGACCCCTCACCCAAGATGGGCGAAAACATTACTCACTCCTTGGAACACTAAACTTGAACTGTGAGACATAGAGAGAAGTTGCTGGACTTAAACCTGGTAACAGTGGTGCTCTAGAAAAAAGATAAGGAATTTCTACAGTCATAACCTTAGAAGCTGTCCTTACTCCTGCATTCCTTTAATTTTGGATTTCAGCTCTATCTTAGATTGCATGAACTAGTTCAGTATTTTTCCAACAGATGTCTTTGTGCTTAAGTTAGCTAGAATTTGCTTTTGGGCTGCTAGCAAGAAAAAAAAAAATGTATGACGTTTTGAGGTCAATTTCATCTTTCATTTTGATTCTCATCCAATCAAAAGTGCCAGATATTTTGTTAGTGAGGAAAGAGAGAGTGGTGAATGAGATGAACTTGATTTCTGCTTCATGGAGCTTTCAGTCTAGCAGAGAAAACAGACACTGATAAGTAATTAAAGTATAGAAATGGAAGGGTTCTATGCATTCATCAACAAATATTTATTAAGCATCTATAATATATAAGACACTGTTCTAAACCATTGGTACTCAGTAAAGAAAACAAAGATCCTTACCCTTGTATCTTGTAGCAGGGGATGAAAACGATAGATAATAAACCTCAAAATATATAAATAAATAACATGGATTTAGAAGATGGTAATTGCTATGGGAAAAGAATTAAAAAGGGGATCAGAAGGAACAATATATCAAAAGGCCTGGAAGCCAGAGAGAAATGGCAGGTTGGAGAAACTGAAAGATTATTAGAGCTAAAATACTGGCAACAAGGCAATGGCTCAAAATGAAGATGAAGAGGTTAGGTAAAGTAGATTGTTAAGGACTTTATAAGCCATTTTGAGGATTTTGAACTCATCCTAAGGCAATCCAAAGCCACTTAAGAGTTTTAAGCTATAGACTCACATGATCAGATTTGCATTTTAGATTTATCATTCTGCCTGCAACCTGGAAAACACATCTAAAGCAAACAGTAGTGGATGGGAGAGAGTAATTAGGAGGCTCTTGTCCTAGTCCAAATGAGAAATGGTGATGCTCTTGACTAGCATATGTTTCATGAATTGGAAAACAGTAGCTGTGTTAAAATGGCTGTTATTGAGGCTTAGATTTTCAGCTTCTCACATTTAGAACAGATTAATGCCTGTCCAGATTTATCTTCTGTTCTTTGGGCTTTGATGCTATATAAAGCCAATTTGAAATGTTGACCACTTTTTCATTGGCTTCACATCCATGAAGTTTAATTATGCCTCATCTTTAGGAACAAAAATATGATAAGTGGATATTTAAGGAACTGTGGCAGCCGTAAGACAGGCATTCGTTGTACTCCCTGTAGCATCTGTACCTAACTAGCCACATATTGTCCTCCTCAAATTCTGAATCAATACAGGACACAAGCAAACCAGGTATATACAACTTCTCTATGAACAGGGCCTTCCCTCTAAATTCTCATATTCTTCTCTTCCCCAGTGAGATAGTGTAGATGATGTAGAAGAAAACCACATGATCTTTTTACCACTCCACTGTTGGGTTTAAATGAAGGGTTACATTCCTTTAAGCGATGGGTCATTTGGCCTCATGATTTGTCATGACCTCTTATTACACTCACATAATATTTTTTTTTAATTTTTTTTTTTAACTTTTATTTATTTTTGAGACAGAGAGAGACAGAGCATGAAGGGAGGAGGGGCAGAGAGAGAAGGAGACACAGAATCGGAAGCAGGCTCCAGGCTCTGAGCCATCAGCCCAGAGCCCGACGCGGGGCTCGAACTCACGGACCGCAAGATCGTGACCTGAGCTGAAGTCGGATGCTTAACCGACTGCGCCACCCAGGCGCCCCAACATAATATTTTTTAAAGGCAGTGCAACTAGACAAGTATTATGCTTGTTTGCTGCACAAGCAATCAGCACTTAACCAGTATCATATGTATATGTTAAGGTTATGCACTTCTGTAATAATTTGAATTTTTTTTAAGTTTATTTCTTTATTTTGTGAGAGACAGGTGGGTGAGAGGCAGAGAGAGAGAGAGAATCTCAAGCAGGCTCCGCAATGCCAGCACAGAGCCTGAAGTTGGCCTCGAACTCATGACCTAGGGATTGTGACCTGAGCTAAAATCAAGAGCCGGACACTTAACTGACTGAGCCATCCAGGTGCCCCTGTAATTATTTGAATTTTTAATTTCTAGTTTATATACTAACCCCAACCTAAAGGGTCAGTTCCTTCTTTCCTTTGAGCTGGGTCCAGCTCAGGTTCTTTCAGTCTTAAAGATGTAGACAGAAATTGTATCTAACCTTCAACTCCATTGCTTGCCAGTCCCAAAATATAATAACAAAAAGAAAAAGACACTTTTCAATTTCCTTGTCATCCCTCCAAAAAGTTCCCCTCTTATTCTTGAGGAAGCAAACAAGGAAGAGTACCAAGTACCACTTTACCATATTGAAACATTGCTGTCTGTGGTGCAATTGAATGTCTTCGGTTCTTGAGAAATCTGCCTTTCCTAAGGAAGCTGGGAGCAGAGGGAACTTACGGATATGGTTTGTAACTGTTCCCATTGCACTATCTTATTATAAGAACGTACTTTTTAAACATGGGTTTCCATCTTCTATTACTTTGTGTCTTGGAGGCTCTCCCTCATGAATTACTTTGCATCTTGTTTGAAGTGAACCATTTTAAAATTTATATCCTGTCCTACTTTTATTTCAAGAACTTTACTTAAAATATCTTTTGTTCTCTTGCCCTGCTCAGATCTGCAATATGCATGCACATTTTATGCATTTCACACTCTTTAAGATAGAGAAAATAATATGCTAATTTGAATAGTGGTAAAATCAGAGTCAGGATAGAGATTTTATTCTCAGAAGAGTGGACAGTGCAATATCTTCTTATGGCGTCTGTTCTCTCCATTGTTAATATAAGTCATGTAAAAGACGTGGTTTAGTAAAACAAGGCAGTAGAACATGAATTTGGGAGTACTCTCAATTTGATGGAGCCGCATAGTGGGTGTTTGCTCCTTGAGGGCAGGGAACATGTTCTCCTCCCTTTTGTGTCACCTACTCCACCCAAGGAGTCAACCATATACATACCAGTAACTCAACATGTACTCAGATGAATGGAAAATATTGAAATTAATGATAAATCCTTATGAGACATTTAATACTATATTTAATTTTACTAGAAAACACACAAAGATGGCCAAAGAAGAGATTTTGACTAGGTTTTAAGTACTGGGTTTTGTCACTCTCTAGGACTAGGAAGTGGACACCCCCAAGGAAGGGAGCTGCTGGAGAGCAGACTAGAAATTAGACAAGTGGTCCTCCGATATGAGTACACAGAGTGCCAGGCACTACCTCCTGGAAGTGTCTGATTCAGTAGATCTGAAGTGGGGCCAGTGGCCCTCCCCAGTGATGCTGATTCTGCTAATCCAAGTAACCCACTTTAAAAACTACAGAATTAGACTTTTCGAGAGAGCTGGCTCAGCTGAGGGGACCTGGGCGTGCTGCCTTGCTGTGTGATCTTCACAGAGAAGGGGTGACTTCAGAGATGTCTGAGGGCAGTATCTAGAATAGTTTCAAGGGTCTTGCTTTCTCTTGATCAACAGGACTGATGGCTTCACTCTGGCAGGAAAAGGAGATAACGGTTTCACGAACTCAAATGAGACTTAAAATTAGCTGACGTAAATGAGATAGAAGTTGGAATGCATGGAATCAACTTAGTAATACTTTTAGCTAAGTTAACCTAATTTAGCAATGGAAGACCATGTACATACATATCTAAGCTAATTTATATATAGGTTATTCCCCGAAATATCCTTAACACTGCAAGGAAAGTTTATGCTCTTTAGCTGACTGTGCATATGTCAAGGTAAATGGGGAAGGTGGAGAAAGGGCAGCCCAAGGAGAGAGGAAAGCCCATTCATCCTAGAGAAAGCATTTAGGAGAAACTACCCCCACCTTTCCCCCTGCCCACTAAAGGCTGTTTCCCAGGTAAATAGCCTTAGGAAGTTTCTGAAACAGTGGAAACAGCTTTGGTAACCAGGTATCATGGGAACACATTTCATCTAATTGCAGTATTGAAATGGAAACTACCTAAAATTTAGAACCGATTTCATATGCTTCGTTGTGTTCAGCTAATTAGGCTCTTGCATTTTAAAACTTGAGTATGAGGTTTTTACATACTTATCTGTGTTTCTTCTGGATGAATTTTATGTAAGGCAGTAATCATTTAAGACTTTGGGGGATATTGACACTTTTTTCATTACAGGATTTCATGGACTCAGGTAGATTTTCTCAATTTGCCAACAAAAAGGAATAGAGAAATTTGTCTTTAAAAAATGATACATGTTGGTAACCAAATGGGCAATTGCTCATATTTAATTTTAGTTTAATTTTTGTTAATTTGAAAATATTAAAAAAAAACTGCTTAGTGATCCTTTTAAGGAAAGACTCAGCTCATGTATAAAAAAAAAAAAAAACACATAAAAATGACTCTGGAGACCTTGGCTACACATCTAGCGGTCAAATATTTCAATGCTTCATTGCTCCCGTTCCTGTTACAGGTACATGTGACAGCGCTGCAGCTATGAGTGGAATTTTAAAGAGGAAGTTTGAAGAAGTTGACGGCTCTTCACCCTGCTCCTCTGTGCGGGAATCAGATGATGAAGTTTCCAGCAGCGAGAGTGCTGACAGTGGGGACAGTGTCAATCCATCCACTTCTAATCATTTTCCCCGTGAGTACGGAAACCATACCTGAAGCTAATTGTCTGGCTCTGCAGTGAAAATAATTGTATCATCTTGGTCATTGTTTTGAACCTTTATTACTAGTTTTGTTTTGTCCTTGTAATTGATTTAAAAGCAAAACATGATTAAGTAAAAAAAGAAGCATTTTTGAGGTATCAGTAGATTCTTTTATTTGGATTGCTTTTGGGAGTGGATTATTTTGATAGTGTTAACCAACTGATTCAATGAAAAAATGGTATTTTTTTTAATGTTTTAAATGTTTGTTTATTTTTGAGAGAGAATGAGAGAGGGAGAGAGCAGGGGTGGGGCAGAGAGAGAGGGAGGCAGAGGATCTGTGCTGACAGCGCAGAGCCCAATGTGGGACTCAAACCCACGAACCCTGAGATCGTGACCTGAGCCGAAGACAGCCGCCTAAGGGAGCCACCCAGGCGCCCACAAAATTGTATTTCATTATTATTAATTTTAAAAGGGAGCACCCTACTGAGAATATTTGGGGAAAGACAAGTCCAGACACAGAAATTTATCCTCCCAAAGCTGAAATGATATTCTGGGGCAGGAAAAAATAGATGTACTTGGGAGTGGGAAGTCTAAGTTATAATGAGAAAGAACGTGCCACCCCTGCAATAAGAGACAAGAAGGGTACAAAACTCTCCCAAGTGTGTAAGTGCATGCGGTTTATACTTCTTTCTACTCATTCCTTTATTCTTTATCCCCAAGAATAATATTTAAAGCCCACAAAGAAAAAATAGAGATGTATGCCTTCTCATTGATTCCTCTTTCTGTCACACTGTGTGTTAGCCAAAGCAGGCTTCAGGTTCTGAGCTGTCAGCACAGAGCCCCATGCGGGGCTTGAACTCACGAGCTATGAGATCACGACCTGAGCCGAAGTTAGACACTTAACCAACTGAGACACTCAGGCTCAGAGCCCCCTGAAAATTCTTAATACAATCTGCAAACTAAAAGAAACTGGCTAGTAATAGTTAAATGATCTTCTTAAAGTTATTTTCCAACAGGAAGATTTTACTATATCATGATACCATGAGAGATAACTAGTCTTAGTTTTTCCATTTTTCAGTTAAGTGGCTGATTTTATTAATATGCAATCCTATAACATGGAATATAATTTGGAAATGTGAAAACCCAGAAAACCAAAAGAATAAACAATAATTTTAAAGGAAATAAAGATCTCAATAAAACTGTTGAACACGAAACAAACTAAATTCAAAAGCATTCAAAATATAAAGAAAGGGCAATTATAATTATCACAACAAAAAAAATCATAAAGTATTCAGGCACAAGGTAATTGTGTAATATAAATAATCTACAAATACATTTATATATGTCATGATGATATGAAATGAGCTTGTGTTTTTGATTTAAAAGAAGATACATGTGTACACATTAGGTCTTAGTATTAACAGTGGTAATAACATCATTATCATCATCCAGTAGAGTTTTGTGAAGATCAACAGAACAAGTGAGATAATACACATGAAAGAACTTTATAAACTCTTATTACTAAGCACATTTTATATTGAAAATTATGATCATAGCTAATATTTATTGGGTATATAAATGCTTTAATAGCTTTGGAGCTATACAGCTCCAATGTAAGGATATACATTATCCCTACTCTTTCCATCCATTCTAGAAGTACCACTACCTTCAGTTTATAGGGGAAATATGTAAGGCTCAGAGAGGCTAAACATCTTGCCCAAGGTCACACAGGATTTGAGCCTAGATATATATGTGTGTGTGTGTGTGTGTGTGTACCTCACTCCATAGTCTTCACTTTTTCCATTATCTCATACTGCCCTTTAATTATATAGTATTGGGCATATCTTTAAAATATTGTTTATTGTGGGGCGCTTGGGTGGCTCAGTTGTTTGAGCATCTGACTCTTGACATCGGCTCAGGTCATGATCCCAGGGTTGTGGGATCGAACCCTAAGTCAAGCTCCACCCTGAGCATGAAGACTGCTTGAGATTCTCTCTCTCTCTTTGTCCGTTTGCCCTGCTCCCCTGCTTGCATGCACTCTCTTTCTCTAAAATAAAGAATAAAAAATAAATGTTTATTTTGAATTAGTAAAGAGGTAGGTTATGTTTCCAGATATAAAGATAAATAAAGTTATTAAAGCTTTCCATATTAATTTATAAATATTAGTATAGTCTCAAAAGCCTCAACTGGATTTTCTTAGAAGGTGATAGAATGATAAAAATCTATTTGGGAAAATAAGCTAATGAGAGCAAAGGTATATTTTTAAAAAGACAGTATAAATGTTGAAAAGCCATTCCAGATATCAAATCATAGTAGAAAATTATTAATTTAACTTTTTTGATACTGTGCTAGATCTAGGAAAGTATAGAAAGTCTCAGCATGTTATATATAAGAGTTTAATGTGTAAGAATACAGTTTTACAGGGGTGCCTGGGTGACTCAGTCAATTGAGTGTCCAACTCTTGATTTTGGCTCAGGTCATGATCTCTCACTGTGAGATTGAGACCCACGTCAGGTTCTATGCAGACAACACAGAGCCTGCTTGGGATTCTCCCTCTCCCTCTCTCTCTCTCCCTCCCCCACATCTCAAAAGTATATGCTCTGTCTCTCTCAAAATAAGCAAAAACATTAAAAAAAAAAAAAGAATAGAGCCTTATAGAGCAATGGGAAAGGGAAGAAGTATGTAATAAATGGTGATGGTGTTAGAGTTTGAAATAGAAGTAATTTAGATACACATCTCACAACACATGCCAAAATACATTCCAGGTGGATTAAACAGATAAAAAAAA